CAGTTCACTAATTATAGCATTTACTGTTATTCTACATTTGTCACTCGTGACAACAGTGGCAGGATAGGATAGAAAATCTTGCGAGAAAATCAAAGTCTGTATGCACATATAGGCATCATGAATTGGTTAATGTGAATGTGCAATAAAGAGACCAGAGGATTCCATTAGTGCCAGGGATTCATTCGCAAAAACCACGAGACCTTTTCAAGATATTCTACTCAGCAGCTAACATTGAGTTTATATGGGCAACCCAAAGACTTTTCCTTCCACTCAGAAGTAGGGTTTTTTTTTTTTTTTTTTTTTAAATTTCATAGTGACCCGGAGCTTATGGTGGCTAATGTTAGCAAACTGTAGATCCTAATGTGGCAGTTAACTAATTATGTTTGTATTTTGCTTTTAATCATTTATTCTTATTCCACAGTTGTCACTTGTGGCAAACAGTGAACAGTGGCAGCTGTCAAGAGCATAATAGAAAATCTGGCTTGAAAGTCAAAGTCAGTAAACAAATATTAACAAACCCCAATACTGTGCTGTCACACCCCTAATATACCGTATATATCAGTGTTTCCTCTAGGATTTTTTTCAGCAGTGGGGGCAGGCTTTCAGGGGAGCCATGCCCGCGTTAACAAATGACACTTAACTGCAGATTTTACTTTTACAACCTATTTATTGAATGGCCAGTTGAAAATGGCTTTTTTAAGGCTGAATGTAAAAATAGAATAAAACAATAAAATTACATAAATAAAAACAATAAATAATAATTTCTTGATGGGGCTGTAGAATCAGTGGCAAAGTTTGCACCCAGGCTTAGAACAATTGATTTTTCTGTTTTTTTGTTTTTTTTTTTCAAAAAGAGCTCTGAGAGCTAATCAGTCGCTGCCCTATTCTCCAGGACGACCCTCTTGTGACTCTCTGACCTGGAGCCTGGTGCTGGACATGACGTCACTTTCAAGACTGCGCTCTCGCGAGTAATTAACGTCGTATTAACCCCCAAAGAGTAGAGACTGAGCAAGATAGTTACTTGTAGTTTACCTTAGTACTCGTGAGTACCGACCCAGTGCATTACTGTGCTGTGAAGGTGGAGACATGAGGCGGTGGTGTATTTGTGACAATAAAAAAATAAAAATAAAAAAAAGTAAAAAATTTGAAAGAGCGGCGGCGAGGATTTAGGAATGGCGGCCCACCAATCCTACATGAATGTAAAGGAGACACATTATATGAATTAATACAGTTAGCCAGCTCCTCCTGTCAAACGGACACAAGCTCCCTGCATTTAATGTGCGTGATTCTGTTGTGCATTCAAACTGAGGGAGTACAGGAGAGGGTCCAAGAGCATTATTGGAAATTCACTGAGCTTTCAAATTCCTCTGAACTGCAGGGTGAAGGTGCTCTGGAGGGTAAACTGGCAGGATCGGTTCTCAGCACTTAAAGCGTGGAGGAATAATATGTGCTGATGGAGGGGATCTGGGTGTCCAGACCCAGCAGCATGGGAGACAGTTGGACCAGAGCCCCCAGCCTGAAAGCAGCATTATCCTTTCTTGCTAGTCATTAGGCAAGCTAGCCACATTATTAGACTGTGAACAGCTGAAACCAGACCTGCTGTTCTCCACATGCACTGAGTGATGCAGTTTGCTTGGTATGAGTGTTGCTTTTAATGTGGGTTTATTTGAACACTCTGTTTTTCTTCTTTGTCGATGTTTTTCGCCCTGTAACTGTATCAGGTTCCCACAATTTTTACGTTTTCTGTTGATGACATCAGAGTTTCAGTTCATTTTTCTTTTTTATTCTTGATATTTATTACTAATAGTAACGGCTCTGTTTCACTTCCTCTTTTTGCTACTGGCAAAAATCCTAACATGGACTGATTTTTTTATTGGAGAATTTTATTAATGTGAAACAGCTTTGGTTGTATTAAGCATTTTTCTTTGTAGTCTGTAGCAAGGCTGCACAATTAATTGAATATTTATCACAGTCACATTTTTGGCTTCACATAGTTAAATAAACACGATCAACGGTGATATTGACTTTAAAATGCATGCTTTACTCACTCAGAAAACTTTACCCATACAAAAAAAGCCCCTGTGCATACAGTCACTCAGTTTTCCCTTTGGAAAATCTGACATTTGAATGCCTCTTTCTGATGTATTTGTGGTCATGCAGTTGTCAGAGTTGCATCTGCTGCAAAGAGTCAGTGTGGAGAGTGGAGGCTTTTCTGTGCACAGTGACCCAGGGGTGTCTGCTACAGCCTTCATGTGAGGAAACATTGGTGATTTCTAGTATCCATCAATAAGCAGAAAGTGAGCTGTTTTGGGTATTTGCATTTTGCCTCTAGGAGATGCACCGAATTGAGCTGAAGAACCTTATTTTACGTCTTATTTTGATGTGAAGATGTGTCGATTAGAAGATAAGATAAGCATTTAATAACCCACAGTTGGGAAGTTTGCAGAGAGACAGCAGCAAACTGGACATGTAGGGAACAAAGATATACACAAGTACAAATTAGATGTGCAGATATTTAAATATTGCACACAAAAATATCGTCTTAATGGGAAAGATAACAATACAGATTATTGCAAAGATTTTGTCTATAATGGACAGTTCTTCGGTAGGTAGAGAAATACTGATACTGCACAGATTCTTGTATATATAGAAAAAAATTATTGCACAGTTTTTAAATGTACAGAGCATATATTAAATGTGTAAGTGTAATAAAAGTATTTTGCTCTTAAAATCCTTAAAATCTCAGTATAAGTAATTGGGATCTTAATATTTACTAAAGTAATAATGAATATTGTTGTGGCCATAGTTGTGTAGACCTAATATGTTGTTTAACTTTGTACTGTACTTGTGATTTAGCTGTCTGCTTCCAGTGAGCGTTACCAACACTACTGTTTAAGACTAAAATGGAATGCAAAACTGAACATGTTGATAACGTGACAAAAAGTGGATTTCAGCTAATGATTTTGCTTTTTAGGAAAGTACCAGAATTAGAAGTGTGTCCCTGGACTTTGTGAGCTCTGGCGAAGCTGTATTTGTGTAAATGTGGTCTTTGTGCGTGGCCAGAGTTCCTGTTTGATGGTAAATACCTGCTCTGTGCACGGCAGCCTTTCCAGTGGGCGGACCCCACCGCCTGGGCGGGTGTCGGCCGGATCCCGCTGACGGCCGCGGTATCCCTCAATGAACTGTGGCTGAGTGTTTATGCGGTCACTTGTTCTCATAGTAAACTCTGTGTGTGATCCACTGTGCATGTGAGGGAGAGTATACAAGGTGCAGTGTAGCATAGTGGTGTGAAGCTTTCCATAGCCGCAGCTACACGGCGTACGTGAAAGGTTTCTTTAGGTAACACACTAAGAAGACTGTAATGCTGTATTCCATTAATTCCATTAGTGACATCAGGCACACACTCATATGCTGTCAGTAACGAGGCCTGTTAATTCCAGTGTGCAGTCTCTCACCTCGTTTCCTGCTGCATTTTAACAGCCTCTCTGTGCAAAGACAGCTACTGCTGTCGCTGTTTAAATCTGTTTTTAGACTTGTTTGTTGTATATTTCTTGCCTGCAGATGATTCTATGGCGGGACACTTTTGTAGAAGAAACAGAGTTGAAAATAAATAATAAATGGTATGAAATGAGATACATACAATACACTATATCGTGTCAATTATAGGAAAACACGGCATTTGATTCACTATTCTTGGGGGCACTGGTGGCACCAATTTTCTCCCTCTGTCTCCCCAACAGCCTCCTCCTGTGATAAATGATCTGCTATAGACTGCTTCATTTTTGGAACATCTAACAGCTAAATTGAATATTGCCAGATTTGCTTCAGATGTGTTTTAGATGTATGCTTGGGCCACTGACACAGCTGCGACTGTGTAGAATTTTAACTCACACAATCTCTCAGTCTTGCAGTGTGGAGGACTGATAACATGAACTGCAGGCTACTTAACCAGCCACAGCGGCGTGGCAGGTCTTGTTTTCACCTTGTTTGTCTGTGTGGGAGTGAGTCATCATGGCAAAATGTGGTGCTGGAGGCAACTACTGCAGCTACGGCGAAGGCAGTATTAGGTACTTGGGCAAGTGTTTATCTGTCTGTCTGCGTGTGGACAGACTTCATCAGCACGATAGTGTTGCAACCGTTCAAGATGCCGTCATCAAAGTTTACAGGTGTGCAGTTGGAATCAAAATGGTCGGCTGATACAGTCTGATCTATGAGTAATGAGTACTCGTGATAATATATTCATGACCACAGAGTACTCATGGGTTGGAGGGTCAACATGTTAAAGGGCATCATGGCTGCTGTGATCCCACCACAAGCTCTTGTCTGGTTAAAGTGTGCTGTGTGTTTTAGTTAGTGCAAGTGTTGACACAGATGAATAGTTTAAGATGGGAATCTGCATTTCAGCTGTCAGGTTTACAAAACGCTCATTCTGCTGCTTCCACTGTCTTTGATTGTGTCGCAGTTTTTAAAATATTGCATTTTTTGCTAAAAGAAAAACACCACTGCAATCCATGGTGCAGTTTTTTTTTTTGCCATTATTTGAAATTTTGCTTAGATTTGGTGTATCCTCTTAACATCCACCCTATTTTATGGAATTTTCATCCTCAGTATACTCAAATGGAAAAGCTAATTTTGGAAGAACTCTAAAGCAACTTTGTTTGAAAGATGACGTCTTCTACTTTCTGAAAATGTGCTTTTGTAGCATGTTGCTAAAGCTAGCTTAAATAGGTTGCCTAGTGCGTGTTCACATGTTGCACTGTTTCTTCTCCAGCGTTGTCTTCCCTTAATTCTGTCAGTAAATAAAACTACACTTAGCTGGATAATATCTCTGACGAGGTTCAACTTTTCAGGTTTTTCATATCATACTGTCTATTTTGATAAGCAGCAAAAAAAAAGGCAGAAAATTATCTTTTGTGTGATGACAGTAAACTGAACAATAGAGGGATTGGGCACTTCAGAGTATGTAACCTGTGACACCATTTCCCCTTTCTGTATTCCAGGTTATCTGCAGGAGGCCTACCTGTGGACCAAGCAGGCTCTGTCCATCATGGAGAAGTCCATGGTCCTTCTGCAGGATGTGACAGACGGCTCTCTGTATGAGGGAGTGGCCTACGGGACGTACACCACCCGTTCTCTGTTTCAGTACATGTTCCTGGTGCAGCGCCACTTCGCCATCAGCCACTTCGACCACCCCTGGCTGCTGAAACACTTTGCCTTCCTGTACAGGACCATCCTGCCTGGTAAGCTTTCCATCACCTGTTGTGACTAGCACATACCTTTACTTTGTAAAGTGGTTATATTTATATGATACACTTTTTACTGAAGTGGACATATATCGGCAGCCAAACTCATAGCAAGTCAACAATCCGTGAGGAAATGTTTATTTAGCTACTAAAGCCTGACACATCCAGCTAGTCCCTGCTAGAATGCTCTCTGCTAAAGGCGTGATTATATTAGATTAGGCATGAAAGGACCGTAGGCTGCCACACTGGAGAGTAGCTTCTCCTCTGAGCTGATATGGGGTATGCATGCGTGTAGTTATTACCTTCCTGGATGCCTTTCAAAGCTGTACTGAGACCTGCAGGGATCTGTGGTGTCCTGGAAGTTTTGTCTGAAGGTCAGGGGGAGGACAGCAGCTGGGGGAGGGGCTCCTAGGTCAGGCTAGGACGTTTCGCAACTCAATGCCAACAGTTTCTGCATTGTGACTGAGCAGCAGAGCTGCACCAAGAAAGTACCTCTAATTACATTAGCCAGAAGAGCCTCAGATTCAGAGCCACAATAGCAGCTTTCTCCTCTCACCAGACACAAAGACAAGGCCAGATTATCCTAAACGACCCCTCTAGCTGCCCAGATGATTGCTGTCCCCTCGTTGACTGTGCTGTGTGTTTATAGACAGTTGACAGAACGCAAAAGGTAATCAGAGAGTAAATAACATGAGAAATTGTGTCATTTTCTGAAGAAAGTTAGAGAGACGACATGTAAAATAGCTGACACCTCAGGTCATACTGCAATTTATATCAATATGGGAGTAATAGCTGAGGTTACTCCAAGTTGCAGCACTGTGAGAAGTTAAAGTACCAGTTGAAATGGAAGGTCATGCACTCTAAGGACTGAAAGAGTTTAAAATGTCAGTCAAACTGACAACTCAAGTCAAAAGTCTCTTTCACACAGTCTGTTCTGGGCAGGACTGTTTTGCCCTTATTTCACTTTGCCGTTCTGTGTCTACCATACAAAGACTGAATTGAGGTGGGGCATTGTTGTTGCCCTTTTAAGCTGTTAATCAGTTTGTTTGGTTCAGTCTGAACAAGCAAAGGCAGGTAAAGGTCTCAACCTTTGGCCCCTACAGGGAGGAGATCTGGTGGCGCTGTTATACTCTGGCAGGCATTTTGCTGGCGTGGTTTCGGTCCACTTATCCTCATAGAGGGAAATCAATAGAAAGTTTAGTGAAGAATGGTGTTCCATCACTCCAGTCTAGTTCACTGAATTGTAGAATCAATGCCAAGGCACATTGCAGCTGTTCTGGCAGCATGTGTTGTAACTGAAGTAACAACGACAAAAGCTTATCCCAAAGTTATTTGGAATCTCCTCTACTCTTTATCTTGTTGATCAGCTGTTTCCCTGGTGGAGCCCAAAATGTGTTGTGGCTGTTGAAAGAACTCTCACGTCATTTTGCACACCAGTAGAGGCTATTTTAACTACAAAATGCTTTAGTAAAACTTTGCAGATTCCTGTGGCATGGAGGAAAGATGGATCTTGCCGTCATCTAGCGCTCTGACCATGCAGGGATCATGTTCCACAAAAGACATCATCTGCTCTTGGTTCTTGAAAATAATGAAGAAAAAGCTACACAAAAGTCATCTTGCACATTTTATCTCACGAACTTATAATTAGTCTATGATGCATTTTTGCTTTTCCCAGTCCAGTGCAGTACACCAACCACTGTGCTCTTCGTCACAATGGTAGAGAGATATAAATATTCAAAAGTGTTGTTGCACTTAACCAGAGTCGATACTTAAAGTGCTCATTGCCACAAGTGCAAGTCCTCTGCATGTAAGAGCTGAAATCTGTCAAAACAGCTCGTAAAAGTCAATTACATTCAGACAGGGAAATACACAGGTTTTGACTGCCTGCCTCGTAGTTAATGACGTGTACTAGAAGCCAAGAGCACACACAAGGAGTTCACTAAACTGCACTAGCATGGGATAATGGCTAAAGTAACCTTAAGCTTGCTAATTGTTTAGCTATGAATGCTAAAAGGTCAGCACATCATTGACCTGTTCTGAAAATTATTTCAGTTTCAAAGTGATCAAATCAGGGTAGATTTACTGTGCAGGAAAACTCTGTCTTGCTTTATTTTCACCCTTTCTCTACCCGAGTGTTAGTGTTGGCACTGGTTGAAGAGGTGCTTAAAATTTTTATTTCTAAGTGAAACTAATAATAGTGCACAGTAAAAATACTGTCGAAGAAAACGCCTGCATTCAGTTGTCGACTGGATACTGTAGAGCAACAGAGAGATTTTTTATTTTATTTTTTTAAATTATGAAAAAATAAAGCAATGTTAATTGTGTCATGTGTGAACTGAAGTCCTGAACACTTACACTGAAGTGCTAAAAGACGCTGATGTCTTTTCAGGTGTCAGATGTACCAAAAGCAGGGAGCTAACATTTACTTAATGGAGGTTGGAACATCAATCCATAAATCAGTTGCAATTTAAGTTTACTTGTAAGAACTAAGGGCTGCAAGGTGGCGCAGTTGGTAGCACTGTTGCCTCGCAGCAAGAAGGTTGCCGGTTCGCGTCCCGTTCAGCGTGGGTTCTCTCCGGGTTCTCCGGCTTCCTCCCACAAGGTCCAAAAACATGTTGAGGTTAGTTGGTGATTCTAAATTGTCCGTTGGTGTGAATGTGAGTGTGCTTGGTTGTCTGTCTCTAAGCGTAGCCCTGTGATAGACTGGTGACCTGTCCAGGTGTCCCCTGCCTTCACCCTGAGTCAGCTGGGATAGACTCAAGCGGTGTCTAGATAATCAATGGATGTAAGAACTAAAGTTAACGAAGAATCAGCTGGATGGAAGCAGTTGGAAGTGTTAGAAGAGGTGCAAGTGCTGAAAGAGGTTGCTGTAAATACAAGAGTCAACAAAGATGGAAAACAGCAGGAGACATCAGTTGTGTGATGTTCTCAAATGTTTACAACACTGCTCTTAATCCATGACTGACATGCAAAATTATTACCACAATTCCTGTAATACATATCTTGAAGACCGTGTTCAATGTCCAGCAACGCTAGTAGGAACAAAAAGTGCAAAGAAATTTTTACTTGACAGTGATTCTGCTGCAAGTTGTGTGATGATCTAGTGTTTTTGGTTGACAAATGATTGACTGTGATTGCATGCTGTAGTAACTATAGCTGGTTTCTAAGAACCCTCTCAGCACCAGACTGCAAGGTTTTCCTTACATAATTACAGACAACAAAACAGTGTGTACAATTTGCGCTTGGTGTGGGACTGAGTTGGGTCACAGACGCTCATGTTGGGGGGGCACTTTTGTTACATACTTGTGACCACAGGCTAAATATTTTGCAATAAGCTCTGACTGTTGTAATTTACAAAGAATCCACATATTGTTTAAAGTGATATTTATATGCATTTTTGGCATTGCAAGCTTCAACACCACTTGGCACATCAGCATTTTAATTGTCACGTTGGCCCATTATTTATGGGATTTAATTTACTCCTGCATGGTGGCCACCACTCATGTTGTCTTCTCTGTGTTTTCACCAGGATTTCAGCGAACTGTAGCCATTGCAGATTCCAACTACAACTGGTTCTACGGACCAGAGAGCCAGCTGGTCTTCTTGGACCGCTATGTGCTGCGTAATGGCAGTGGAAACTGGCTGGCAGATCTGATTCATCAGAACAGGGTGATGGAAGGGCCAGGGCAGGCTGGGAAAGGCCAGCGATGGTGTACTCTCCACACTGAGTTCATCTGGTAAGCTGCTGAATTTTGTTCCATTCTAAGAAATCACCAGAGAGTCTAAATTCACGTTATAATCACATTTTTACGAAGGCCTAGGGGTTTAAATGACAGCTTTGACAGCAGCCTAAACATACCAGGTTTGTTTGAACTGAACCAAGCAAGTGTCAGTACACTTCAGCCGAAGTGCATGTTGGGCGGTCAGTGTCTGAAACTCCCTGCCTCCTTTCCAATACTAATATTAATTTGTGTAGCTTTGCAAAAACCAGACCATTTCACACAGCAGTTGGCAATGTGTGAGGAGCTTACAAAGTAGGCAGAACATGAACTCCTCTCTCAAGTTCTCTACACGAACACTTACATCGATTTTATTCCAAATCATAAATTCAAGTGAATGAAAGGGAGGCTGTCCAAAAATGTTTCATCATTTGCACAAAACAAAACACACAATAAACAAAGTCAAAAAGAATTTTCAAACAGATGTTGCGTAAAGTCATTTTCTTGAATTCTTTTGGCTACAATAATTGTCTAGTGAAAATCTGGTATTGTGACAGCCCTTGTGTATACTCTTTATTACAAAATAAGGCACTATTGTTGTAGTGGTATTTGTCCAAGTCCAAGATGACATGGTTTACAACATTTGAACTGTGAGGCGTTCTGCTTTTCAAACAATGTAAAGTCAGTTCAGTTCAGTCAATGGAAAGAACAGGCCGAAACCTTTCAAAAAGCAGCAGTAGAGTCTTAATGCTGTCCATATTCGAGTCGGTGACTATTAAAGCTTTAATTATGGTACATGGAAGAGGCAACATTTCTTGTTTTCTGACATTTTATAGACATAACTAATTAATTAATCGGGAAAATAATCAATAGATTAACCTACAATGAATACATTTGTTAGCCCTACTTGGTAACAGTAACCTCTAAAAAATCATTCGTGGTCAAAACCTTGCAGTCAGTGTAGATTAAAGAACTAAAACTGAGAGCAGTTTAGTTGTACTTTTGTTGTTTGTTCAGTATTTTCTCCATCTGATATCGACCTTCTCCTTGTTCTGCAGGTATGACCCAGGACTGATCTCCAAACCTCCGTCAGATTTTGGAACATCGCAGCTCCACTACTTCGAGGACTGGGGCGTGGTGACGTATGGCAGCGCTCTGCCTGCCAACACCAACTGTACCTTTCTCTCCTTCAAGTCGGGGAAGCTGGGCGGACGCGCCATCTTTGACATCGTTCACAGGAACAAGTACAAAGAGTGGATCAAAGGCTGGAGGAACTTCAACGCTGGCCACGAACACCCCGATCAGAACACTTTCACCTTCGCACCCAATGGCGTCCCGTTCATCACCGAGGCACTGTACGGACCCAAGTACACTCTGTTGAACAATGCGGTGTTGTTTGGCTCCGCCTTCTCAGGGAGTTGCTTTAAGCCGTGGGCGGGACAAGTCACAGAAGCCTGCGACTCCAAGTGGTTGAAGTACAAGGTGGGGCTTGCGGCTGACGCTCAGGGCAGAGTGGAAGCTGCTATGGAGAGAGAGGGAATGGTCTTCATCAGAGGTGAGGGGCATTCTGCTTACAATCCAGAACTGAAGATCAGGAACTTTCAGAGGAACCTACTACTTCTTCACCCACAGATCCTGCTTCTCGTGGACCACATCCACCTAGATCCAGACAGCCCAGTCAGGACCATGAGTGCCTTCTTTCACAACACGGAGCTGCCCTTTCAGAGCACAAAGGTAGACGGTGTTCATGGAGCGTTTGTGTCACATGGGAAGGATGAATATAAGATGTTCTGGATGGATGACACGAGCTACAGTAACAAAGGGGTGGTGGGTTACTGGAACTACCCTCGAGGGTACCCGTATAATGGCTCTAACTATGTGAACGTCACAATGCCGTTGAGGTATCCTCACACCAGGGTGGCGTACATTTTCTTTGGTCCAGGCGTGGATGTGCAGAGCTTCAGCCTGCGTAGCGATGATCAGAGGGTGGATATTTACCTGGCCACCAAGGACCACACCTACACCATCTACCTGCTGACCGGGGAGATCACCAGCAAACCTCTGTTCGCCATGGTGCTGCAGGACCACAAGAAAATCGTATTTGAGAAGGCAGCGGCCGTGGTAGACAGCTCGCCAGAGGAAGTGGAGGAATACGTCAATGTGATGGAGGACAACCTCCAGCACGTCAAGCCCGTCTTCCAGCAGATGGAGAGGCACATCCTGGGACGGGTTCTCAACACTGCCAGCTTCCGTAAGACTGCAGAACGCCTCCTCCAGTTCTCCGACAAGAAGAAGACGGAGGAGGTAATCGAGAAGATGTTCGCTATGTCCAAGAAACAGAGCAAGGGCAAAGGAGGGAAGAAAGTGAACCTTGGGGAGAAGCTCTCTGAGAGTATGCCTGACATTTTTGCACAGATTGAGGTAAATGAGAAGAAGGAGAGACAGAGGACTTCAAAGCGAACTTATGAGGACAGTCCGGAGGAGGGGGACGCAGACTCGCGGGCCTTTATGGATTATACAGATGGCCGCAAGAATAGAAAGGGCGGCTTTATCAAGGGCCGCAAATTCAAAGAGATTCACATGGTGGCCACAGCAGGGAGCGAGAGTCTCCCCAGCACAGCTTCCTACATTAGACTGTTTCTCCTCCTGAACACTGCCACCTTCTTTTTACTGCTGGCTGTGCTGCTGACTCGCTTTCAGAGGGGTCGGAGTCTGCACACGCAGAGATGTTTCTACACAATCCTCCTGATCGACTGCTTCATCCTACTGTACCTCTATTCCTCCTGCTCTCACAGCCAGTGCTAACATCGTGAGCGTGCGAGAGGTCGTCCATCTTACAGATCACATGACCTGTTGTTCACGGTGAACTGAATGTGCCTCACACCTCACTCTGAGCCAGGTCTTATGACAGAGTACGAGGGCCACTGTTTCAAAAACTGTCTTGAGATTTCAAGAACAAAATGTTACAAGAATAAAGGCGTAATTTTACAAGAAAGAAAGTCACAATATCTTAAGAGTAAAGTCCTAATGTTGGATATGCTTGTATAAATACTTAGCTCAGTCATGCTGCTTGTCAAAAGGATGTAAAATTAAGCAAAAGAAAAAGCATCATGCATCGGGTTGTTATATTTTTACTTGCAAATTATGTTAATGTGTAATATTGCAACTTTTGTTCTCGTAATATTACAACTTCTACTTACAGTTCATAAACATTCATCCTATAACATTATGCCTTCATCTCATAGCGTTTTTCATAATAGAATAGCTCTCAACCGATATATCTCTCAGCTGCTGATCTCCTATCAGGAAGGCATCAGTTTGTATGCGCAGATTTTAAAAAAAAACCTTTCAGTGCATAATACTGAAAAATATGCTTGTGAAAATGTAGAAATTGGGTCATCATGTAGTTTGTCCAGCATCATGTGCTCTGACTCCATTCTTTACAACACTCCGCCCCGTCTGCAGCACATGTAGCAGAGTAAGCATCACAGCTCAACAGATGGGCTCTCTTCATTATATTATGACTTTTATTCTCTTAATATTGTGACTTCTATCGCACAATACTACAACTTTTACACTTGTATTATGCCTCGTAATATTACTACTTTTATTCTTGTAATATCGTGACTTCTATGCTCTTAAGGAATCTTCTGATAATGACTTTTTCTCAGAAATGTTTCTTCACATATAATAACATGAATATGATTTTCATAATAGGAACTTTATTTTATATTATTATATATGCCTTTGACAGTTATGACTTATTTTTGAAGATTATTGACTTTAAATTATAGCTTGATCCTTGTAATATAATTTTTATTCTTGTAATTTTGAGAAAGTCAAATTACTGGCTTATTTTTATAATATAGTGATTTTTTGGGAATATTTGTCCAGAAATTCCAGCTTCAATATTAGGATTTTTTTCCCAATTTGAATTAGTGTATTTATACAGCCCAAACTCCTTAATGACACAAATCTATTCATCAGGACTTTATTCTTGTAATTACTGTATTCTTGAAATGTCTTGACTGTTTTTCTAACAGTGGCCTTAATACTGCTAAGATCTACTTAACGGGTGCTTGTTCAGGAAAAAAAAAAAACAAGTGATTCCAAATAGGAATTGATGAATTGCTGAGATGAAACCAGACAACCTCTGATGTAATAAGCTTCTGTGGAGCTTTCGAAACTGAGTCTGTGTGAAGTTTGTCCTTTGCAGTGTTCAGAGGTCCTGCCTCGTATCGAAGATCTCAAGGTTCGCCACTATAGCACCGTCGCCACATCTGTACTTGAGATTTGTCCTGTTCTACATAGTTCATAGTGACACATTTAAATGTATATATGTTAAAGCAAGATATATTTTTTATGGTCTCTGTGTTTTTTTTTTTACCATTTGTAAATAAATTTACAACATGCATATGCGTGCGTTTATTGTGTGAAGTCAAATGTGCAAAATAGAGAGCTGCAGCTGGAGCTTTAACAAGCAATGAAAGAGCAACACTTAATGAATGAATGTGTTTTCATCACAAGTTATGATCATCAGTATATCATTTATTATAGTATTGGTTATTATTAGGTATTCTATGTTATTAAACATTCAACACGGAACAGAAAAACACATGATCTAATGTAAAATTGAGGCTAGAAAATCTGTTTTAGTTGTGGAAAATCACTGGTTTTATGGGCTTTTTTCCCCTCTTATTTTACAGTATTTTGTTTGGTGCCCCAACTGCTGGAATATTCTGCTTTTTTTTTTGTGCTTTTTTTTTTTTTCCAGTGTGTCTCTTATTCATCTGAGTGAGGAAGCCCAGCTGTTTGCAGCCCTCTGATGTTCCTGAGAAGCATCACTGGCTGGCCTTTTGTTGACTTCCATCAACTCCTAACTCGGGAGTCATCCTCCACTTACAGAGCGAAGTGAAGAGAATATTTTTCCACTCCTTTCTTTGCAAAAAAAAAATAAAAAAATGCTGCGGGTTGTTTTGTTATGATTGAGCAGATAATCACTTCCAGATGTGTGCTCCGTACAGCTTCCCTTATCCGAAGACCGGCCTCTGTTGTCTGCTTTAAACGTTTATTTACTTTGCTGCGCTAACGAATGAAACTTCTTTGTGCCAAACGGGTGGAGGCTCAGTTTGTGTGAGAAACGGCTCTGATAAAATATGAACATCAGAACGGGGCCAGACGTGTCCTCGTGCTGAGGCCTCTTTGAATCTGATACAATATGAATATGCTGCCACCTGCTGACTGATTTCTTTGAGGATTCTGACCCAAATGCACACTAAAAAACTTTTCCTTTATTTTGGCCACAGTTCACCAGTGGCATTGCAGCTTGTAATAATTAAAGTGTCTTGAAAAGCGCCATGTAAGTATTATTATTATTATGTTGAATTCTGCTTTGAAGCATTTCTTCACTTTAGCTTCTTTCTCAGTGCAAATCCTAGTTAATTAACCTATGCATACCTGATGCATAGTTTTTAGTTACTTATCTGGTTAATGAGGAGCTTATGTCCACACAGCAGAGGGTTAATGTACTTTTACTTTACTTGAAGAGTTTGGCTGCCTTCTATTCCAATATAGCAAAGGTGGAAATATTGTACTTGATCAGTAGTTATGTTGTGTTTTGGTTTTTTCAAGTAAGGCAAAAATACCAGTTATTCCAGCAGCTGCACCCAAACAACACATAACTTTATTCTAAAGTATTAAATCATTTTACAATACTCACAAAAACAGACCTCTTTCTTGCCACGCTGCGATAAAAATGATTTGGAAGGTACCATCACTGATTTCTCGTGGCTTGTCAAAACTCGCCAAAACTTAGTTTTGTTCTTTTTGAGCCATTCAGAGGTGAACTTGCTTCTGTGCTTTCGGTCTTTCTCATGCTGCATAACCCATTTGTGCTTGAGCTTTAGATCATGAACGACTTGATGGATATTCTTCAGGAGGATTTTCTGATAGGGAGCAGAATTCCCGGTTCCATCCACTGTCACAAGTCGTCCAGGTCCTGGAACCATCACACTACAGCTACCGTGCTGCCATGCTTCACTGTTGGTATGATGTTCTTCTTGTGGAATGCGGTATTAAATTTATGCCGTTATCATTCAACCTTTGATTAATCAGTCCACAGGATGTTATCTGAAAAATCTTGGGGCTCATCCAGATGTTTTGGGGTTTTTTTTTGCAATTGCCAGATGAGATTTTATGTTCTTTTTGGTCCAGAGTTATTTTGCAGCTCTCCCATGGATGCCATTCTTGCCCAGCGTCTTCCTTATTGTGGAATCATTTGGGCTTATGTGGGTGCGGCCGGTGAAACTGAAGCCAACTGCCAAATGAATTTGGTCATTCGGGGGATTCGTAGCTATGGGGGCAATTACTTTTTCACATGGTGGGGCTGGACAGCATTTTTCCTTCAATAAATTAAATCATTTAAAAACTGCATTTTGTCTTTTCTTGGGTTGTCTTTGTCGTGTATTAAAAATGTGTTGATGATCTGAAACATTAACGTGTGACAAACATGCACAAACAAAAGATATCTGTAGGGGGTAGATACATTTTCACAGTACTGCGTACATACAGAGGTGAATAAACGAAGAAAATAAACAGAAATACAGGAATAAATAAAAGTTGACATGTGGAAATATAAACAGAAATCCAACAGATTAATTTAGTGAAGTCCTTTTTGAATACTAAAAAGTATTGCTTTTTTTCTGTACTTACAGTTGTCCTCAAATTTATTCATACCCTCCCATGAAAGAAGGAAAAAACAGCTGAAAGAAGTTGAAATTGACAAAAGTAATACTTAATCAAACATTTGTGAAAACCATGACATTACTTTTGAATTGTGTTTCAACAGAAATATTAAAAAAACAACAAGAAACAAGCATGATGGGACCCATAAACTAACACTTTGTTGAACAACCCTTTGAGCCAATCACTGCAATCACGTGTTTTCTGTAACTCTCAATCAGACTTCTGCACCTGTTGGACAATATTTGGATTTTGGCCCACTGCTCATAAGCAAAGTGCTCTAATTTGTCCGGGACAGTTTTTTTTATTATTATTTTTTTCAATCACAATTCAAAATCAATGTCTTATTTCACCGTATTGTAATTTAGCAAATTTTTATTTATTTATACTTTTTTCAGTTTCTTGTTTTTTGAGTGACTATTGTGATTTTGCTTTTTCTTTAGTGGAGTGGTATGAATGCATTTGAGGACACTGTATGTATTTGCATTTGTTTTAAATGTCTATTAAAGTCCTCCGACCACACGGTGTCGCTGCTTCGCGCTTCGCTTTCCGTTATGAAACGAACCTTCTCACTCGCCGTCGACATTTTGAAAAAACTTTATTCGCCGTGGTGTTCGGTAAGCGGTCCAACATGGGAGCACGGGTTGGTCGTATGTTCCGAAATTTCAACATAGAGAACCGGGCGTACCGAGAACTCGCCAAGGAGAAGCCGAGAGTGGCGCCCCGGCACCCGGTCAACCTGCCGACGGAGGGTGAGTGACCGGGAGCTCCGCTAACTTCTTGTTACACAAGTTAACCTCGGGGGTCATGTCATGCCGGGCTCGTTCTTTAAGCTTTTTCACAGACACTTCTGGAACTTTTTACCCAACTAACGAGTCTCTGTTGTGTGTTTTTAGTAGAGGACGTCGTGAACCAGAAGAGCGACCCGCTGCTGGAACGGCTCCAGTCCGTGTACGTGGAGTCCAAAGACCCGGCAGTCGCTGCAGTAGAGGTCAGTCCGGGATACCGACCGTCTCTCTCTCTCTCTCTCTCTCTCTCTCTCTCTCTCTCTCTCTCTGTCTGTCTGTCGGGCTCAAGGGATTAATGGTGTAGTATTTGGCTTCGTTAGTGACAGTATAAGGTTATTTAATCATTACTGGCTGTATGGACTCTCGGTGTTTTGTAGCAGAGCTGGAGACTTAACAAAGGCAGACTGAGGCTCTTAATGTAGAAATGTGAAGCTGCACTGTGTTGAGGCCTCAACAAGAGCCATGTCATCCATTGTTTCTGTCCCAACCTGACAAGCTATAATCCCATGGAACCTAAATGTCATGGCAGCTGATTAATATGTGACCCCTTTCAGTACTTACTGCAAAAATAATTCTCAAATAAAGCTTCATTATATGCACTTAATGTTTATTTAATGGGTATGAACAAGTTTGAGGACGACAGTATTTCTTGTGTGAGGGGTGCTGACTGAATGTGGTGATTCAGCTTCGAGCAAGCAGATGACCTGCGGCTGCTCTCTGAATCATTTGCAAAACAATCTTTAGTTTGTCTGTTGGCAGGACGTTAGCTCCGTATCAACCTGTGCCTGTCTGCTGTTTGCTGCTGTTTAGGCTTGGGCGGTATCTACCTTTTAAATCCTGACATTATCCTGATGCATTAGTTAAATGAACGACATTAGTAATTAATTTCAAAGAGGTTTCATATGTCTGCCATCGGAGCAAACTGTGGTGCTGTCTAATACAAATTACTTGGCCAAATCTTGCTGCAAAATGACCTCCAAGTCTACCTTGTTGGAATGAACTTCCTCTCAGCTTGACATTGGGGGCCGGTGTGACCAAAGAAGTTGCAGGTTCTGCGTGTAATAAGGTTGCCTACAAGGTTTAATGTGACTTAAGAAACCAACAGTGTCTGCAGCTTTAACAGCTAACCCTGCTAGCATGCTGTATCAGCAGAATGCATTGAGTGGAAATCGAGGTCTGGAATTTTTGTTCCGAGTTATTAGCCAAACTAGCACATCAAACTAGATCACAGGTGCACCAAACAGAAGTCCCATACCAAATAGTGATGCACGATGTTATAAACTTCTGGCCGATGAAGGTTTCTGATATCGCACATAACCGTATCACTGATGTTGATATTCTTCACACTGAAAAATGAGTTTAAGTAAGCTCTGTGAGAACGTGAAAGTTATTCAGAAGAAGCCCATACGATGTTAGACCACAGTCTTCTTTATTATGTAACAAAAGTAAAACATATGTAAACATATTGTAACATATTTAACGTTCAAGACCAGGCCTATTAAAGTAAAAACATCTGTGAAATAGCAGCAATATCAAATGTAGAGACGAAGACGCTAATGGTGGACAATCATCGGTTTTTCACATCGGCTAAATTTGTTTATTGGACCGATACTGATATATTGGTTAAAAAACACTAATATCGGCTGATACCGATGTGGTCGCCGATATATTGTGCATCCTTAATACCAAATTACATTTCCCAAACAACTTGGGATGAATGCACCTACCTGTATACCCCAAACCAAAACAGCAAAGTTTTGGCCCAGACAACCAAACAAACGAGCATCTGTGGAGTTGAGGGGAACTGCAGATATGTGTTGATAATAATCCTCTGTTGGTTCTGTGCTACAAGTGACTCCTTCCATGATAAGCACAGAGTTATTTGTTCCATTGTTAATGCAGCAAGAGGCCCTGATCTCAAACAGAACATCGCAATAAAATGTTTATTCTCTCCGTAGCAGTAATTAGCTGTTCAGAATGCTGACAGAAGTGTCACGAAAAGTCTGTTTAACCTCATAAATTTGAAAATTAATTCAGCAAGGTTCACCAAAGAATATCCACTCCAGCCTTGTGACTTGCCTCACACAGAGGCAGGATACACCCCTACTATTGACGGACTGCAAGCCAGTGAACCCTGAGACACTGCAGGAACCTTTTGAGGAACTCCTTATGTTTAAAGGAGACAGTTTTTTTCCCCGCAACAATCCCTGCTCAGAGGGGTAGTACTTTTGGTAACTACAGACACCTTGTTGTGCTTGTAGTTTGTCAAATACGATTGTTAGGAAAAGACAGCATGCAGAGGGAATTAGAGATTGTTTCACTTTCTATAAGTGCCCTAATTAACTGAGCATTGTGAAGGCTTTGGCCCTGCTGTGGAGATGCAAGTTACAATCCTTTTTATGCAGCTAAAAAGCATTAAAAAAAAAAGTAATTTGAACTCATTGTCTATTTCTTGATGTTCCCACAGGATACGAAGGCTGTGACAACAGCTGTAAAAGCGTACCGGCGCCCCGTCAAGATCGATTATCCAGGAAAGGTGTTCGGCCTGGTGAAGGTCACAGACGTTCCTAAAGGCAAACTGACCATCGCTGAGGCCGTGAATGCCCTGGGCAACCACAAGTACGATCCTCAGACGTGGACGCCTGAAAATGTCGCACAGGAGTATTCTCTAGACCTTAAAGAAACAAAAGCTCTTCTGGAGTTCTTCATCCCTTTCAAGTTTAAGGTCATTACTCCCAAGTCTAGAACTGACAAGCAGATAGAGGCTTCTTAGGACTTGAGTCTTTGATGAATAGCTGTTAAATGAGCAAATATTTATTTATGTGCTTCAGTGTATTACATTGGGGTAGTGACCGGATTGAAACTGAAAAGCTTGGACACAATATGAGGTTTATCGGTGGCTGAAGGTTGATCTATGGACACAAACTAAGAAAACTGAGAAGAACAGCGGCAGAAATGTAATCTTGAAAATACAGCATTGTTTCTTTTGGTGACTCCTCAGATGAAACTAGAATGCAAAAGTATTCATACTCAGATTTTCACAAGATTATTGTGATCTTAAAATGAGATCAGATGTCCAAAGATATGATGAGAAACTTCAACACATTTAGAAAAAATGTACTCATTAGATTTCCTAAGAGAGTGAAATGTTCAGATCGTTATCAGCCTCATGTCTGCGCGTTTATTCCACAATTTGGAGTCAGGATGTAGTTAGCCTAGCTTAGCATAAAGACCAGAAGCAGATTTGGGATTGGTTCCATAGGTGCAGAAGAACCACAAGTTTAATGATCATCTAACTTTCTAAACCGCCTTCACACAAACAAGAGATTCATATTGACGTCTTCATTTCACTCTGGGAAAGAAAGCAAACAGTTAATTTCCAACACACTGAAGTGTTCCTTCATGGTGTCAAGACTCTTCTTGTGAGTGTGTCAGTCCAGTGAAAACAGTGTTTTGTATAATACACATCCATTCATTTCTGCATGTGTTACTCATGAGGTTGAATAACATTTATCAGATGGGAGAAATATTCCAGGAAGGTGTTTCCATCCATGTGGTCCAGCAGCGATGTCCTGCTTGTAGAAATTACTGTAGCTCCACTCAGGGTTATTTAAACAGAGTTCTAATATGTTTTTTGTGTGTTTTAGTAAATAAGTTCTGCAGAAAACGAAGGCTTGACTACATCCCTCTTGTGGGTTCCAGTAATCTACAGGTGTTTAGCTGTTGCCAAAGCTGGCAAATAGTGTGCCAAACCTGCTCCCCCTCTAAGAAAAGCTGCAGTTTTCCCTATTTACAGTTTACAACAGAAATTGTTGTAAAAAAAATAAATAAATACGGGACTGATGTAAATCTGAGCAGGAATGTCTGATACTACTCACGTGACATCAAAATATCTCCTGGGAAAGATTTCACATTAAAATTATGTCTAAATAAAACAGATGAGACATTAATTATGAATGGGAAACACAAACCTTATTATCGGCATAAATTTTAAAACCTGGCAAAGCTACAAATATCTCACACCGAGCCTTCAGTCTGCAAATTAATCACACGAGGACGTCAACAAAGCAGAAATACAGAAACCTCAGCTCATTGCTTTGAATTTACATATTGGTGGCAGCATTATGGAGATGTGCTGTTTTAATGCTGTTATTGTGGAAGTTAAGTGAACCTTATGAGGAAAAAGCATGACATGTATTTATAAATGATCCTGTGATACCAGTTCGCTGCATATACGCACACTTTTTAAAAATACAGTTATTTTGTCTTCAGTCTTGTGTTCCATTTGTGTCATTCAGATGTCCATGCTTTGTCAAATATAAAAATCATAAAATGTTATCAGTGTTTTCAAACAGCTGTTCAAACCTTTACAGACACACAGTAAACAATCTTGTGAAAACACTGCTCACTTTTGCACTAACAGCCTCCATTTGTCATCTTTACCACCCACAGCACGCAGAAACACGTGCCCAAAAAAAGCACTTCCTCCAAACCAAGTCACGCCCCTTTTCTCAGATTTTGTCGTTTCTATTGGACGACGCTGGGAGAAGGGGCGAGGCCTCTTGAAAGTGCACTTTCGCCCCTCCACTGGCTTTTGATGGTGTCAGTTATCACTGAACACAAAACTGCGTCAAGTTACACACAGACACGGAGAGGAAGCTGCTGCAAATTGAGTTGTTGTGCCTTCAGAATAATGTAGATGGGTCCGATAAGTAAGAAAACCGCACACACTCCATTTAGCCAGGGCATAGAAAAGTATTTTAAAAATCTTTAATTTCCCTGAAAGTGTGCTTAATTTTAAGTTTTATATAAACATCTACTTGCTTCTGCAGAACAATGTCTTGTGAACCAGGTTGTGTATATGATACAGAATCATCTGCACCTCCCTGAGCACAGGTTTTTATATAAAGCCTGAAGGTGGTGATGTTCTCTTTTGTTCATGTTTAATAAATATACATATATAGAATCCTTTGTTGAAACAAGAACATGAGTTCACTGCTTTCACCAAAGAGTCTCAGTTTTATAAGCACCAGTGAAGGCTTAGGTTCCATGATGCATTTAAGGTCTAAGCCTCTTGTCATGTTAATACAATCTGGCTTCATAGGCAATGTGTAAACAGGTTTGGTTCCTTAGGTTTGTTATGGATGAAAACAATCATTATTTCATTCGTGATGCATATTGCACACAAACACACAAAGCAACAACAAACAAAACAAGAAGAACCCTCGAGAGAGTCATAAACACATGCCAGAAAATAATTTCCACTGCCAACAGCATTCTGTAGCATGAAACTCACCCTGTCGTCACATCGTCTCTCTGTTGCCATCTGGAAGGTGCGACAGAATCTTGCCAGCTCACACTTCCGGGTTAAAAAACACAGTTTCTACCAGAGAGTCATCGCTGAACTTAACTCTAATAAACACCTCGGCATGATCATAATATCACAAAACAGTGCTGTTTTTTTCTGTGTGAGCACACTGCAACGTGCAGTAACTTGCAGGACATTATATGTATGTGCACGTGTACAACATGATTCTATTCCAGTCTAGTCTATTGAAGCATTTAAAAGCAACATATAGACATAAGATGAGATTAAAAAAATAAAAACCTCATTAATCCTGAAGGAAATTCTAGTGCCAGATATTGCTCAGAAAAAAAAACCCAAAATGATATAATATAAGAAATGCATTGGATTCAAGGCCTTTTTTTAAAAAAAATTTTAAATTTTTATCACAAACACAATTACACATAGTATAATGTGCAGTGAAATGCATTATGCACCTGTTCCAGACTGAAACAATAATCAGAAAAAGAATAACAATAAAGAATAAAACACACCAGAATTAAATATATACATGAATATATATGAAGAGTTCCTTTGCAAAAACAGATAACTCCATTTACACAAACCTTCAGAAAACCCACTTTTCCATCGTCTACCTGAGACAATATCAAAACTTAAGTTATCTTTATTTTTGTCATGTCATTTCTACTGAGTCAAATCCACTTAACTGCAGGTTGATATTATCTCAAGCAAACAACAAAAAAATTAACTACAAAAATGTAGTTATCTGTTTTTTGCAAATGACATCTTCACATATATCTATATCTAGATAGATAGATAGATAGATAGATAGATAGATAGATAGATAGATAGATAGATAGATAAAAAAATAAGCAAAATAAATAAATCAAACTGTAAAATAGTGTCAATTAGTACAAAAAATAAAATGAAATGACATTTTTTTTAAAAAGATATATATATATATATATACTCCTAAGCATTGCCTAAAGAAGGCTGGAATTGAACTGTAGAAAAGTAATGCTTGCAACCATACCAAGGTGATACCTACTTTCACACATGGTAATAAACTCTTGCATCTGAAAAAGTAGATGAAAATGAAATATTGCACAATAAAAATAAAATGTTACTACTGAGACTGATGTTGCACAAACTATTGAGAAAAGTAAAAACTTCACGAGTAGGTGATTTCATGAATATAAGTGAAGCGATTAATCACCTTTCTGCTTCATTGTATCTTTTGAAATAGAAGTCTCCTCTTTTTTTTCGAAGACCATGAAAACGTCTATGACTGCTTTTATTGTGAAGGCGCAGACCGGATGTGGAGTTAGTCGGCGGCGCCTTGTCGCAGACAGCAGACAGTGAGAGTAGTTTGTAACAGTGTGTTGCTGCTGGTTCGGGCTCCGTACAGCAGACTCTGGTATTACGGTGATACTGGCACACTGGGCCGCTCACAGCCCACATCTGGACGGAAGAAAAAACGACGAAGAAAGCTGGGGATGAAAAAAACAAAACAAAGCCGGACGTTGAGTTGAGTGGCAAGAAAAGCTGCTGCTGCTGGAAACAAAGCGGCTGAAACCAAATGCGGATTTCACTTCTTCAGTTGTGTAGGTGGAGGCATCACCGGCTGTCGCACTGAAATACCAGCTAGGCTCCACACTGGGGAGGAGAAGGAGGCTTTAGCTACGTGTTTTTTTGTAAAACATCTCTTTTGTGGTTATTTATTTTTTTGTCCACACCGACGGAAAAAGGAGGAAGGTTTTTTTTTTTTTTTTTTTGGGAGGCGGCGGCGGGATGCTCCACTTGAGCCGCTCCTGAGCTCCAACATGGGGGAACGAAGCAGGTAATGTCAGCGCTAACACGACCAGCGCCGCTTTAACACACACGAAACCTTCAACTTGCTAAAAATATATATCATAAATGTTTCATAAATGTTGAATTTAGACGCCCAGCTGCTCTCGTCGTCTTCAGAGAAGAGTAAACCATCGTGTGTGTGTGTGTCAACCATTTTGGTGCTTTAGCATCGACACAGTCAGAATTAGCTAATATTTCTATAAACATTAACGGTGGTTCACAACAGCTGCCTGCACATCTGTTCATTCAGGGCTGGATGTAGTAAAAGGCCTGGTCCCAATGAGGTGTAGTTCACCTCGGTGTTGATTTTCCAAACATTAGGGTCAGTGTCAGGACACCTGACAGATTTATCAGTTGATTTCTGATGTGTCTAATATCTGAAACTGCTCTGATGTCCATGTTAGATGTGCAGGAACACATATCAGACTTAACAGAGAAAGTGAGTGAAATCCAGGTATGTTGTCAACACTATTCCTTCATGAAACCCTTGAATGAAAAGTGAATCATCTGTTGTACAAGCAAAGAGTTTATCCACCACTTTATGTTATCTTTAAGTGTCACTGAAGTCTGATTTTATGTTGACAGTTTTGCAATTTGTGTTTGGTTCATTCAACAGTTCTAAGATCTAAAAAGTCAAGCTGAGCAGGAAAATCAAGTTGCTGATAGTGTATTTGTTCAATTTGGGCAGCAGAGTTCAAGATCGCAAACTGCTAAAGATACTATGGAGCCACAAAAGATAAATTCAGATGAGGGTTATTCAATCTCAGATTATCTTGACCATTTCTTACTTGCTTTTTTAAAATCATAAACTACAGATATTTAATAATGGTATCTGTGAATTCGATTGATATATCTTTTATTTTCCCTAAAGCATCTGTCCATCAACCCACTTTCAGCACAATATCACACAAACTATTAAAGATAAAAGTCTGAAATTTTCACTGTTATTTCTTATCATGCCATTGATTTGGAATATTTGATATTGTACCAATACATCAAATTATGTCCTGTTATAGGTGAGCTGAACTATAAGAAAAGTATTGAAGCAATCATGAAAGTTCCATCTTTCAGCACACATTAATAATAATAATAATAAAAATACTGATAATACAGAAATCGATTGGATATACTTAGTTTTGTATCATTGTTCTTGTTCAGAAAATATCACTGCATGACTTCTGATTCAGTTAATTTTTTAGAAATATCTATAACTACCCATATTTTTGTGCTGTAACAGTTTCAGGTAAATCAGAGATCAAGCAGAAATTGTTAAAAAAAAAAAAACAAAATGCGATGATTTGAGATGGAGTGACCCATGAGCAACTGGAAACCCAACATTTGAGTTTTCTATCAGACTTTTTAAAACCAAGACAAAAGGGATTTTCGTTTTAGTTTTACATTTCCAACAGTGAAAATTGAGAATTGTATTTTTTTTTTTTATTTAAGTAAACTATTTAAATGCGAAACACCTTGGTAGCCTAAAACATTGACTGTATTCCTTTGCGGATGTGAGCACGTACACCACAGATGCAAAGCTGTTTTCTTTTTATTCTACAGAGTCAATAAATGTGCAGTAGCATCCGCAGATTCCATGAATGCACACTAAAGCCAAGCATATGCACCACTGTTACTTGTTGTGTAGTGATAGTCTGGACAAAACCAAATGTTGGGCCTAAGAGTACCACTTTCTTGAGGGCACACATCGCATACCTGCAATATCCACAGTTTGCTGCACTTCATACCTTCTCAGTCCCCCATGTTCACCGTCTCTGCAGTTTAAAACAAAAATATTCTTTAAAACAAATGTAGCTACTTTAAAATAAAAATTACTTAAAATGAAATAGGGCTAACGTGTAATTTGTTTTTGGCTGAATTTGAACACATTTTCACACGTTGTTTTTAAACCAAACAGTAAATTTTGCTTTGTTCTGTCTATTCACGGTGCCTCTGCTGCTTCACTTGGGCGAAACTCTGATGTTACTTTAAGTGCCAGTTTATGGTTTCTGTGTCCTTGCGATGTAAATTTTGTCATCCGACCACGTCTGATGGTCAGCGAGGACCCAATCGTAGAAATCTGCATCCAACCCAAAGTTTGCCTTTACCTTGCAGAAGTCGCACGAGCCAGAAAAAGTAAACTTGATGCTTGTGTTGTGCACAAATCTATAGTGGTCACACACTGATTTCTCTTTTTCATGTCATAAAGCTAAGCACAATAAACAAAACAGCCACTCTGCAGTTGGTTGTCTTTATGCTTTTGTATGTGCATGTGCAAGACACGTCCACAAATGCATCCCACCCATTGTAGAATGTATAGAACCGCGTGCACGGCTGCAGTTTTGAGTTTGTGTTAGTGGACACACAACTTTTTTAGAATCTAAAATGCTCCCACACATGCCAGTGATTTGTGATTTCTGTTCAGGTTAGCTCACTGATTTTGTCAGTTTTCTCCATTTTTGCGACAGCAAAGACAACAATAATCGGCTCTTTCATAAATGTTAGCCTTGGTAAACATGCAGCTGTCGCAATTCGCAGACAATACCAGAGAACATTGTGATAACATGTTGTCAGGATAAAGTGAACTGAAACTCTTTCACCTTGAATTCTGCGCCCACGTCTGGGTCCCTGTCATTGAGCTGCTTAGATTATAGCTGTATCGAGAAAGCTCGATATGGTGCTGCCAATTAGACCCCGGTGGTCGCTCAAAACGACAAAATCCCCACAGAAAGCATTCTTCCAATGGATGAAAGAGACATCTGTAAAACTGTTCTTGGTTGCATTTTCAATCCATAGAAGTTTCATGTTTGTAAAACCTCCCAGGAGCTTAGAAAAATTAGCTTCCCCAACCTCGTCACAATGTAAAGTGTACGGAGAAGGCGGGAATAACAGGGGCGAGGCCAGTGGGGGGAAACTTTAATGAGCATGTGCAGTGGGCGGCAAAACAAAGCAAACCCAAAAGCTCAACTTCTTTTTGGCTCATCCACCAAGTGAGCAATTTTCATTCTAGTGAGTGGGCGCTATCTTTGAGTCCAGTATCTGGTTGTCCTTAATACAGCCATGGCTCAGATGAGTCTAAAATATCTCCATACATGACTGTTGGTGTTTCTTTGTCGACAAACAAAGCTGTTTCTGTCTTTTATGATGCTTTAGGAAAACAGGTATCGCCACATTTGCAGAGTTTCTACATTGACTTGGGAGAAAAACGTCAGTCAGATTTGAACAGATACCTTCTTTCCATACAAAATTTAAGTAAAGGCCATTTCTTTATTGTCCTTTTTTAAAACCAGGCTTGTTTTGGCTTTTCTTTGCATCCATGAGTCTTGGGTCTCAGACGGAACACAAACCAGGTCTTTATCTATATTAAACTGCCAGTGTTTTCAATTGTACGAATCTTTTCTACACTTTATGTAACTATTCGTCTCCATCAGATCTTCCATTGGTAAACATGGGTATTTCTTTCAGATAGCAGACGCACCACATGTGTTTAACAATGCCACCTGAAATAAACCAGGTGCTCTGACAGGCTGTTACAGCCGTAAACTTAGTGCCTCTCAGTATACACCATCATGGACTTAATAGGCTGGTTTCTGATGAACCTGTTCTCTCTTGGCAATCCAAGGTTACAAGATGTGTGAAAAGCTCTCAGCATATTCTCTCTGCAGTTCTCCATTGCATAATTGTGTCGCCGCTACAGTATTTGAACGTCTCCCTGTCTTTCAGAACGCCAAGTACCCGATCATCCATTTACGCTGCTGGTTCGCTTGATTGCTTGGAGGCTGAAGTGGCTATTTTAACATTTTAGGTCACTGCGCCCCGAAAGGAAGGGAAAGAAATGTGGCGGTACCCGTCCTTAAGGTAGACTGCTGAACGCTGTGTTCAGTATTGCGATGTGCAGATTCCTCCCATCCCCCCCTATAGAAAACACTTGGTGAATGGAACGGGAAGTGGGTCAAGATTAACCTGGCTTCTTATTTGCTCTCATTCACCGGGTCTTTGTTGTATTGAAGAGGTGGTAATTGCGGCGGACAATTTGCTTGTCATCACCATATCAATAACGCAAAGTCTTCCTAGTTTCTCTATTTCCAGCTTGTATATATTCGTTACAGTTTTTTTTGTGCCTCGAGTATTTTGGTGACATGACAACACTATCTGTTGAATGGCTGCATATCCAGGTATCGCAGCAGCAGTCAGCCTGAGTTTTAGCATGACTACATAACAGACCAACACGCTCTGTTCTCACAGTAATTGCTCATAATTGTATTGTTTACACCCACGTACGGCTAAAAATTTATGAAGAAGCTTAATTTGTGTGGAATTTTATCCTATATCCAGATGGACTCTTTTCTGCTGCACATGTATTATTTGCCGCTTGGCCATTGTAATAATGGCAGGCCGTCAGAAGTATCAGCCAGCAGTGTTTATACTAGTGATAAGGGTTTTTATTGCGGTGTTTGACTTGTTGCCACGCTGGCTGTTGGGTAATGGCGGCGGTTAAGAAAAGCACTTTGACTGGATTTCTTATCACATTTCAGGCAAACACAAAAGATATTTTTGGTTTTCCATTTCCTTTTTTCCTTATACATTGTACTTTTGCTTCGGTTGTAATTGAGCATTTTGGTAAATAAACTTTACAGTCTTCGCTTTTTTTTAAATGGCATAAGAAATTATTAACCCTTTCAGTCTTTGTAGTGTGCTGCAGCAAGGATGCGGTTAGCCTAGCTTAGCATAATGACTGGAAGCAGGTAGCCTGGTTCTGACAAAACTTCTGTCAAAATATGCCTTTGAACATTTAAAGAGCTCACGAGTTACCACATCACATCTTGTTATTTTAGTGTATCCATTCGCCACGCATCTCTGTGTGGCAGCAGTGGATGTGGTGTTCCGGTTGAGGGATGTTGATGATTAATTGATTGAAAAATTGTCATTCATTTTTTGAATAAATAAAAAATAAATTAGCCGCTATGGTGGACAAAGGATATGCACATAAGGAAATACATTGTGGATTAGCTCTAGCGTCTGGCGTCAGCATATAGTGATTAGCTCTATTAGTTGAAGGGCAGTAGTTTGCATGAAAGTGAGCTGGAACTTGTTGTATTTAACTTTTACACTTGGAAACTATTTTCAGCTTCTTAACTCTGTGTTTTTGTATGAATACTAAAAATTGTTGTCATTCTGACACACTGCAGGCTTAAGAGAGCCCATGCTGGTGTGAATTAACCGGGGAGCTGCAGGCTTGTAACTGAGTGGATTATAGGCTCACTGTCTTTACAGCTCCAGGGGGAATACTTATTTTAATCTGTTTTCAACGTGCCCTTTTTGATTTACTTGGAATTCACCTGCATTTTTTTATTTTTTATCTTCGCTTCTTAGGATCTCACGTCCATGAAGACGCTGCCATGTTGTGTTGAAGTGACAACATCTGCATCCGCGGCATCATGTTAAGCTCTCCAGTGACGATGCCCGTTCACCCTGGGGAAGAATGGTTCACTCCACTACTGCTCCCCTTCCACAGGCAGGGGACATTAACGCCAGTCTCTGCTGCCTCGTTACGGGGCTGCTGAACCTTTCTGAGACGCCACCGATGGAGGACGTCTCCATGGCGAACGTTTCCCTGGGCTCCCGGTCGCCACCGGAGCCGCTCACCCCGACAGCGGAGGCCCCGGAGGTCCTGCGAGGTGTCGGCCTGCCTCTGCAGATCTTCTTCTGCGTCGTCATGGTCATCATCCTGCTGGTGGCTCTGTCGGGAAATGTGGTGGTGTGCCTGATGGTGTACCAGAGGTCTGCCATGCGCTCAGCCATCAACATCCTGCTGGCGAGCCTGGCGTTTGCAGACATGATGCTGGCCATCCTGAACATGCCCTTCGCTCTGGTTACCGTCGTGACCACCAACTGGATTTTTGGAGACATTTTCTGTCGCGTTTCAGCCATGCTCTTCTGGTTCTTCGTGATGGAAGGCGTGGCTATACTGCTTATAATAAGCATAGATCGTTTTCTTATTATTGTCCAGAAGCAAGATAAGCTGAGTCCGCAGAGAGCTAAATTGCTCATAGTCATCACCTGGGGACTCTCTTTCATTTTGTCCTTCCCTCTGGCTGTTGGCTCCCCTCCCCTACAGATCCCCCCCAGGGCCCCGCAGTGTGTATTTGGCTACAGCATCGAGCCCGGTTACCACGCCTACGTATTGATACTAATGCTAGTCTTCTTCTTCATACCATTCATGGTCATGCTGTACACATTCATGGGGATCCTGAACACCATCCGCCACAACGCCATCCGCATCCACAGCCACCCAGACAGCATCTGTCTGAGCCAGGCCAGCAAACTGGGCCTGCTGAGCCTCCAAAGGCCCTTCCAGATGAACATAGACATGAGCTTCAAGACCCGTGCCTTCACCACCATCCTCATCCTCTTCTCCGTGTTTACAGTGTGCTGGGCGCCCTTCACTGCCTACAGCCTGGTAACTACCTTCAGCGACGGGTTCTACCACAAAGACAGCTTTTTTCAAATTAGCACATGGGTCCTGTGGTTGTGCTACCTCAAGTCAGCCCTCAACCCTCTCATTTACTACTGGAGGATCAAGAAGTTCCGCGACGCCTGCCTTGATCTGATGCCCAAGTACTTCAAGTTTCTTCCTCAGCTGCCAGGCAACACCAAGAGGCGCATACAGCCGAGTGCTGTGTACGTATGTGGAGAGCATCGCTCTGTGGTGTAAAGGAAATAATCCACTCTTAAACACTGTTAAAACACATCTTTACATAATGTATCTTGCATTAGCAGGCCTGTTTTGTTGTTTGGTGGTATACTTCTCTTAGCAGGCGTTTAGACTGAAAGTAGCACTGCATTAAAAAAAGCAGGGGGCTGAGTAGGTGTGGGTTATTACTTCTGAGAATAGTCTGAAGATCTAGAACAGAAGGTCCAGTTTGAGTCAGACTTCCATGACTTTAAAGGCTTGTCAGATGGGAAAACGTTGCGCAGTACCTGTGATTTTACAACACTGAAACAGGGCTGTGTGCTGTTTGAACATTTTCTGTACCAGTTACAATATCAGGCCTGAGTTTCAGTATCGAAACAGTCGACTTTTAAAACATAAACTGAGGATTCTAAACATGTTTTTCCTCCCAAATCCTTTTTTCTGTTAACAGCAGAAACCATACTTGACAAATATTAAATGTTGTCCAAAGACAGCTATTTAAGCCATAATATCTGCAAAGCTTTAATGTCAATCAGTAACTGACTCCATCATAAAATTGTCTAAAAAGATTAACATAGTGACTTTCAGGGGAGCTTTCACTGACATTCAGCGTCAGCTCCTGGTGACAGATTTTGAAAACGATGCTGCGGCACAGAAAATTCAGCAGCAACCTACACCGCTCTGAAAGCTCATCGTTGTCTCCTTTATCTTAGCTTTTTTTTTTTTTTTTAACTATAAAATTACCCTGTTTTCATTACAGAATAATTTAGCAATGTGTGCTACATATTTGATAGGCCTGCATTGCTACATGACGGCGCGTTGCATTTGGACAAAAGCTGAGTCAGAGCCCTCTGCTTTCAAACCCCCACAGTGTTTTAATGCAGTGTTAATGTCAGTCTCACTTCCCACTTTGCACTGCGGTTCAACAACAGTCAGGGAGTTGTGTGAAGATTCTCTGTAAGACGTGGGATATCCAACAGATCAAGGACAACTGGACTCAAGAGTGCGGAGGATGTTTTTGTATCGAATCAAAGAGATGTTCTCACTATCATCAGCTCAGACGACAACCTTGTATAGATCTCTGCTGTAGATTGTTTAAAGATGAATGACAGGAAACTTCTTCCTTCCAAATGTGAAGCCAAAATAGCAGAAATCGACAAAGCCATCTTGTGCTGGCTTTGCAACCAGAGCCTGTCCTGTCGTGATCAAGGAGTGGAAATGTTAATCAGATTAAGACAAGTTTATTTGTATAGCACGTTTCAGAACAAGCAGAGCTGACCAAAGTGATGTACAAAATACGTCCAAAAAATAAGACAGAAAAAAGATAAAACTGAGAGAAAACATAAAACCAAAATATCCATCCATTATCTATACACCGCTTAATCCTCACTAGGGTCGCGGGGGGGCTGGAGTCTATCCCAGCCGACTTAGGGTGAAGGCAGAAGACACCCTGGTCAGGTCACCAGTCTATCACAGGGCTACACCTAGAGACAAACAACCAAGCACACTCACATTCACACCCACGGACAATCCAGAAGAACCAAAATATGAAATACTAAAAAAGCCAGACAGAACAGGATAACAACTTATATTATTTACTGAAATCAAATATGAAATATTTTTAATTTAAGATTCCACACATCTTTTGAAGGTGAACTCTGTGATTCTTTAGAAAAATGGTTGATATTTAGCTGGTTAGTGTATTTAATGTTCTGGATTTACCTTTCCTCTCACTCCCACCGCCCTCTTTCTTTTGCAATGGCAAATGTGTAAATCAGTCCAAACCACTCTCTTTGTTTGTTTTGGTTTAAGGCTTCACACAGAACGGACAGCTAGCAGAACTTGAGGAAGTATCCACTAAATTAAACAAAAACTGTACAGGATCAGAATCACTGACTCTATCTTTTATCTGAGTAATTATCATTTTCTAGATAAAAATGCTAAGTAGCTGCTCTTTGTCTAGCTAGCTACTTTTTTTTTTTTTACACAAACAACATAATTATACAGTTTACTGCCTAGCACTAAATTAGGAATTTGAAACAGACTCATTAGAAAACTACACATAAAGGAAAAAGTCTGGGGTGGGAGAGTAATGAGCTGTACTTTGGTTATTGGGACCTGTCATGTCATCCATCTTTATTTACATTCTTTAGTCTGATCTGTACCTGTAGAATCCATTTGGCTGATATTTTTCAAACATCCTGTAGACCACACAGTGTGAGTCCAGTTGCCTCTTCAACCTGTGAAGATCCTCAGATATCAGAAGTACCAAACGACAGGCAGCTGTTCTGGTTGTTTTGTTTCAGCCTAGAACAGCAGACCAAACAACAGGTACATTTGTCATTGCCTTAGTACTTGTAGATAATCGGCTGTACATTATATATATATATAAAAACAAAAGGTGGAGAACGTCACCTCCACCAGCTTCAGTAGTAGGGCTGGGTGTTGTTAGGAAATGTTTGATACTAGTGCCGATTCAGTCTCGGTGTAATACTTATTTTATTACCAAAGTTCTCTGTCTTGTCTAAACACAAGAAGCCATACAAGATTTTTATTATTTTTTTTGACTAAATTCATTTTAAAATCATCACTGAAATAAGGAACTAATAACAAAATGAAACCAGTTGAATATTTAAAGCCAGTTTTTGGTACTTTCAATTGGAAACTCAGCCCTACTTAGTTCGACCAGAAGACATTTTCAGCTCCAGCTTTGGATAAACCTGCTCTGATGTTATCACCACAGCTACGACTCTCTCTCTCTCTCTGTCTCAATCCACAGCACTTACTTCTTCTCTGAGGGTGACACAATGTCATTTGGTGTAATAAAAGAAAACCTTTAAGTGAAGTAGTTGTCTGAAGGAAACCATGAAAGTAAATGAAAACACTTTATAACTCCTGAAATGCACTGAATGGCACATACTGTGTGAGAGAATACTTTCTTATTGTGCTCAGAAAAAAAAACAGGCTGGGTTTGACTTGACCTTACGTCTTTTCTTGCCACTGGAGTCGCAAGCTGGGGGGAGGAGGGGGGGATGACGACGATGCGTTTAGCTGCGTAGAATTTATTTTACGAGGCATGTAAATTAACAGCTTACGTGGAATCTGAACGTGGTCGGAAAGCGGCCACGACACATTTGAACGTGTGTATTTGTATTTAAATGTTTTGATTGTGCCTATTAATTAGTCCATTTGCCAGTCAGAATGCTGCTATATCTGGTGAAAATGTGCAATTTCAGTGTACTGTACTGTTGAATGTAATAAAGAAATAGACATTTCTTACCTTGGTAAACTGTCTTACGTGGGGTTTTTGTTTGTGTGTGTGTGGTCGCCGATCAGTTAGTGGTTTCTGTGCTCAGAGGGGCAGGAGTTTAGAGAAACCTGATGTCTCCAGCTAGATTCCAGCTTTCTGATCAGTTTTTTAGCAAGTGCACTTGTGCAGTGTTGCGGCCTTCAGAGCTTAACGCGGTGCTCCTTCAGAACCACAAAGCCAAGCAAGCTAAAAAAAAACCCCAAACCTTTATGCCAATGTAACAACAAAGCATTTAGATAAGAAAAAAGAAAAGCTGTGAAAACAAAAGCAGGTATCTAAACCTGCTGCTAATACATGGATACCATTGCTATTGTTGCCATGGTGACTTGTTAAGTTACTGACGTCGACTACCTGACAGTGGAGATGGAAAATGTACATATTGCGATTGCATAGTTAAGATGTTCTCGCAGAAGAAAAGCAAGAAGACTTGTAGTTTGCCTGAGCTGACCCTTTCAGGTATTAAATTTGCAGATTTTCCCCTTTGCTTGCTTAATCTACCAACAGTATCTGAATTGAAAGAATTTCACACAGCAGCTATTTTGCTTTGTCACAATAGAGAAATCACAGATGTTACTTATACTAACCTGAATGATAGGTGCTGATAACGTGTCCCAGTAAGTCAAACTCGTGTAGGACACTGAAGCATCTCTATGAACTTTTATTTTTTCTGTTTACATCTGTTGCCTTTTCTGCTGACACATCAAAATATCACATGTGAAAGAGGCTTATTACCACAAAATGTATATACTGGTAAATGCAGTTACATGTGCTGTAGTTTCCTTTGTGGCATGTAAACGCTTCATTCTCATCTGTAAATACATTGTGCGTTACATCTGGGAGCCCAGTGTTTACGTGGTGCCTCCATGCAAGCTCTGCTGTTAATTACCCCACTTCCCAATGCGTCACCTGTGTCTCCTTTTTCCACCCCGGGGACTCCACTTCCTGTCATCACCTCCGCTGAGTGCCTTTGCGAGGGCGCAACCCAGTCTCACGGCAATTCGTACAATAGTCACAAAATGTAATCTATTGTTTGAGGGCGACATGTGCCTGCTGTGCATTTATGCATGACTCCTCCATACCATGATCCCCCTCCTCCTCCTCCCGCCTCGCCTGTGACTGGACCTGCCAGTCATGAGCTTCACGGCTGAGTCGGCGGCAGCGAGTTGTGCAGCGCGGCTGATAACAGGAATGCCAGGGAGATGAATTAGCTGCAGAGCTACCAGCCTGGAATCTGTTTACAGTCTCGTGCTCCTGTTTGTGCTTCTTAAACTGTAGTTCATCTTCTCGAGTCCGGATTAGTAACCTGGGAGAGTGGGCCTCAGACCTCCAGGGCGCTCAGCGGTTCCACATTCTGAACCTGTGTAACCCCTTATTAATTCTAAATGTGTTTATCAATCAGCAATTTACACTAATAAAGCACAACAACTGAGTGCCAAACCTTTCACCAAGCAAGCGAAACATTACACACTACATCTCTGGCAGAAGCAAATAACTGAATTTTTGCATCATTTCAATAAGCTTACTGAGCACCAACTATGTACTGATAGTAAAATTGAAAACACTTGTGCTTTTTTCTGTGTGGTGCAGCAGTTCGTGTTGCCACATGTGTAGGAACAACACGAAAAATGATGGATTTTTTTTTTTTTTTTAAATTGCAGTAGATGAAAACAAAAACATTTGTGCCAGAAATATCCTAAATCCCGCCTTCTTTGTGGATCGTATGGGAGCTCGGCAGCCTGGAGCGCTGTACTGAAGCTTGACATGACCTTTGATTAATGTCTTCGCAAGCCTCCTCCATTAGGAATGGCTATGTGTTGGTGGAGCTGGCAATTGTGCACCTTCGCCTCTGCAACGCCTTGTAGAGCAGACTCCTCTAATAGGATTTAAGACCAGAGAGTGTGGTGGGAGACTGAAAAGTGGGTGAGCTGAGAATCAGTTACAGAGCACAGCATCATGGTGGAAACTAATATAGTCCCAGATGATTATGTACCTGTGCTGCTCCAGCTTCTGGACATTACAAGTCCCACTGTTGTGGCGGTTGTTCAGAAACACGTTAATTTTTTTGATCGTGCTGTATGGATGCTGTTGCGACTAATGGCCGCACACATTGATCCATTGGACACTGATGATGGCACAGTTTCTGACATATTTCTGCAGTAACAGTTTTGGCAAAGCTGAAACCTGCCTCGTCCACATATGTTAGCTAGCAATGCATTGCATCTGCTTCTAGATCCATGCCTCTCTGGAAAAGAAAACACGAAATAATGCAGCACAGTAAGAAAAGACAGGGATCAGTCAATATGTTATAGCATGTATGTCTGTGTAGCTTCTCAGTCATCCAGGTCACGGTAATACAAGGAGCTTCAGACAAAAGCTGCTGGACTTCTCTTTTAGGTTCTTGAAGATGTTTCACCTCTTATCCAAGAGAGTTCTTCAGTTCTAACTGACTGATGGTGACTATATACATCTGAAATTTACCACCAGTCAGTTAACATGAAAAAACCCTATTTGATGAGAGGTGAAACATCTTCAAGAACCAAAAAGAAAAAGCTCAGAGGATGCTGTAGCACAGGGGTGTCCAATCCTGGTCCTCGAGGGCCACAATCCTGCATGTTTTAGATGTTTCTCTCTTCCAACACACCTGATTCAAATGATCAGCTCATCATCAAGCTCTGCAGAAGCCTGATAACGATCCTGATCATTTCAATCAGGTGTGTTGTACGAGAGAAACATCTAAAGCATGCAGGATTGTGGCCCTCGAGGACCAGGATTGGACACCCCTGCTGGAGCACCTTACCCTGCCAGATCCAGTAACAATGAAAGGACAATATGGCATACCTGCCCGAGTTCAATCCTCAGTTGTCTTACACAGTTTGAATTTCTGTACATACACTCTGTACAGCTGCTTCATCCTAGTTCTGTTGCATTTCAGTAGATGAGACGGTGCAGGAGGATGTTTTGTTGTTCGTCCTTCAGTTCTGTGAGTCGGATGCAGTTATTTGACCCCAGTTCTGATTTCATTAGTTATTGTGTTCCTTCCTCTATTTCTTGCCTCC